CACTGATGGCCACCAGCTGTGCCACCACAGCCACCTGACCCCAAGGCTAGGAAGGCAAAAGAAATCAACTTCAGGCAAGAGGAAGAGAGAAAGAAGGAGGAGAAAGCAGATCCTGTGGACAGGAAGGGCATTCTACACCCTGGAGAAGAGGGTGGAACTTCTAATCCGAAACTGCCCAGGGGATGTGTGGGGCCCTTGCCTAGGCTGCATGTGTTTCCTACCTACCGCCTGGGCCTTCTCTCTTACTTTGGACACAGGATGCTGGCTAAGCTTGTAAAGTCCAGGGCTACCGAGGAGAGACTCTAGCTCTCAGGGGCCCTGGAGACAGCCAGTAGCTAGGGACCTGGACACCTGACTCATCTCTGTTGCCCCAATGCTCTCATTATCCCTATTCTGGGAGGAGGAAAGCTGAGGCCTCCCTCAAGGTCTGCAGTAACTCAAGCAGGGAGAGAAGACCTGTCAGGAACCTAGTCCACAGCCAGAATGGCTCTGTGCCACTGTTCTTCTGCAGGCTGACTGTAAGGATCCCTGGTACACCCTCAGGGGGACAGCTCTGAAGTCAGTCCACCAGTGCAAAGGTGACATGGGACAGACAAGTTTTGGTATATCTCCCACTGTCTGTACACCCCATCCCAGGTTGTGCCTTTTGCTGCCACAGCAGGGAGGTGGCAGGAGCCAAGTTTTGGTTTCTTTCCTATGGATGAAGAAACTGAAACTGGCTGTCAAACTGCACTCTGGCTGCAAACATCCTGACCTTCTCACCACTATGCAGGCACTGTAGGTCATGTGACCACAAGGCCAGCCCTGCAGAACCTCCTTCCTGAGAGAGGGAGACCTCTGCCTTCTAGAAACCAAGGGCCCTAGGCTGCCTCTGAAAGACAGAGACACTGGAGAGCAGAGGGCTGTGCAGGAAAAGCCCCTGGGCTCTCTGACCCCCTCATCTACAGCTTGAGGCTAACTGAGCTGGGCTGCCTTGTAGATAGTGTTTGTGGCATGCTGAGTGGTGCCCAGTGCCTCCTCAGCTCCCAGGGTGTGGTACTCTTAACATTTGAACTCAGGGTGCTTCCTATGGAACAGGATCCTTTGGAATGGGGGTGGGAATCTCATCTCAGCCACAGAGCCACAGGTGATTCAGCTACTACAAGCTTGTGCCTATGGCTGGGAGGCCTGAGCTGCAGCTGTCTGGACAGGTTGGATGGATCCTGGCCTTCTCTAATCTCTCCCAATGACTCTGCCCTGGAGACTTGCTGTAGAGATGGGGAAGGGTACAGTGTAACTGTCTGTCTGCCTGTCTACCCCAGAACAACTGCAGTATGGGGGCTGGGGTGGCCTTAATCGTTTAGGCCACTACTGAGGGTCAAGGGCTATTTCGTCTCTGCTTCTGGCTACAGGGTAAGGGGCTGTTGCATGTGTGCATGCTCAGGCATATATATGTGCACAGAATCTGTGGCACCCCTGCTGGTCCTCCATAGAGCCTTCTAGAATGTAGAGGGCTGGGTAAGTCCCTCAGATGACCTTACAGAACTTGCTCAGCTGATGGGGCAGAGAGAAATGACTGTGCAGGGCTGGGAGATGTGCTAAGAGGTATGCTTGTGGAGACCAGGGAGACAAGAAAGCTACAGAGACCTTTTAGGGACTCAGCACTGTTGTGAAGGACAGGGGCTGCCTGGAGGCTGAGCCTGGGTTCAAGTCCTGCCTCTACTGCTTTGGTTATGTTTCAGTCACAGTTAACACTTATTAGCCACTAGCTACACCAGAGACTCAGAGGCTCCCTGGATGATGTCACTGAATCCTCTAACAGCCTAGGGAAGCCATGTGGTGGTGGTGGTGGGAGTGGGGGAGCCAAGTGACAGCCTATGGTATCAGACCAATGAATGGTTCAGATTTGAGCTTGGAAGCTGGTCTCTCCCTGGGAAACTATAATAATGACCCTGCAGAGGTGACAAGAAGGAGCCCTGGTAACTTTAAGTGCTTTAGCTCCAATGCCTGAAGCTTGACAGTAGTGACCATCAGCATCTGTCACCACATTGTCTTCACATGTCACAGCACAGATCACCACTCAAATCAGCCAGGGGAAACTGAGGCCCAGAACATGAGGAGCAGAAGGAAGCATGAGTGTCTTTATCTGCTGCAGGTTCAGTGGTGACTTTTCCAAAGGGTGACCCTCAAATTCCCCCAGGCCAGGCTCCCACAGACAAATGGCCCCACAGCCCACAGTGCCTCCTGTCCAGGTTCTGCAGAGATGGGCTGGCTTATGGAGAGGGAGTGTGGTGCTATGGGGCCCAGGGGGCACTGGAGCCTCTTGGAAGGGACTAGGAAATGCTGTCCCACCCCAATGGGCAGCATTAGGACCTGGTGCACTGTGCAGTCCTGCACTCTCACAGGTACACTGTCCTGGCTGCTGATGGACTCTTCCCTAGCCTTCTGCTGCAGTGGCAGAGAGGGGGACTGAAGAGTCTCTTGACACAGCTGCATTCCCCTGGGCCGAGCACAGTACCTTGTACAAACCACGCAGTCACTGTGCAGTGTCCCACCAAAGCAACATGGAGGTGACGGCTCCTTCTAGACATGGGAGGACAACACATTTGCTCACCCAACCCCAGGTCACAGCACTGAACCCCACATTGCCAGCTCAGCAGTACAGCCTTGAGCAAGCCATGCCTCTAGTCTCCTTTGGGCACAAGGCAGCCCTCCCATCCCCATGGCTGCTTGGTCAGGGTGGATCCAGCACTGGCAAGGCACCAGACACAGAGTGCAACACATATGCACACCCCTGAAACATGGGTGATCGTGACTGTTCCTAACAGGAAAAACCCCCGAATCCTGCCTGATATAGTGGGCCTGACCAGTTCCCCCAAACCCCCAAGCATCCCCTAGCCAGTGACCTTTGGCTGGCCAGTGGCTTTGTCTGGAATCATGCCTGGGACACCAGCTTCACGTCCCTGGAAAGGCTCACAGCGACCCCTGCTGTCTGACACTGCAATCTGCCTCAAATCTTAGTAGCAAGGCGCTAACAAAAGCCATCTCAGGAGGAGGTTCCAGCTTGGGGGTGTAGGAACGCACGTCAGGACAATAGCAGGGAGAAGGGACACCTCATGTAAGTACGATCAGTGGACACTAATTCCCTATCTTCTAAAAATGCATATAATACGCAGATCAAACAAAGCACTTTCCCTTCTCTTGCGGTCTTTTGTTTCCCTGGATAAGTGTCACCCCCAATACACCATGGAACCAAGCGACACTGTCATCTGCGAGGGATGTGACTTCCCACTCAACACGCACTCTTCTCAGCAGGCTCGTTTTGATGTGGCAGCTCTGAAATTGGAATCTTTTTTAAAAGCAGAAGCACGGTAAGCAAGCAGATGAGCGAGACATGCGCCTCTCACAGTGACAACACCCTCGGTCTTTTGATGGATATGCACTGGATGTAGGGGTGTGAGAAATGCCCCCCTGCGACCCCATCTCATCTGGCATCACAGTTCAGGCACTGGAGGCGATGGTGGAATGGCCTCAACCCTGCTGACCAGGGCGGTAAAGGCCCTATCCTAGGGCATGGTGAAGAGAAACAAACAAGGTTGGAGCAAATTCCCCAAACAGCCACGCTCTTAACCTCACAGCAAGAGCAAAAAGGGTCAACCCTGCTGACCAGGGCGGTAAAGGCCCTATCCTAGGGCATGGTGAAGAACAAACAAGGTTGGCGCAAATTCCCCAAACAGCCACGCTCTTAACCTCACAGCAAGAGCAAAAAGGACATGTTTCACAAGAAACTTCTTTCTCCAAAATCTGGAACCATCATGCAATCCGTTTACTTCAGAAGATGCCAACAGGTCATTCTAACAGGGATGCCACATGGCAAAGCAGAAAGCAGAGGCCGAGTAACCAAAGCCTGGGTTAGAGATTCTAAGCTGGTCACTCTATACAGGCCATGGGCTGAGTCCCTAGAGCACTCTGAGACCCCACGGGAGCCTCAGCAACAAGCTTGGAGGGATGACCTCACCCACTGTGACATTCTAATGGTTACGTGGCTGAGGCTCCAGCACATGCCTGGGGGTGGCTCAGGATGAAGCATCTCCCTCTCACACTGTCACAGATCATCTGTTTCACTCAGTGCCTGGGACACCTAAGGAATAACTCAGATCAAAGTGCTGCACCGTGCCAGGACGGAGATGGCCAGCCTGTGGTCCTGAGGCAGGATGGACTAAGGCCTTGTGAGCCTTGTTTCTAAAGAGTCCATCAGTCCTTCCGGGATTCCCTATAAGAATTCAGGCTGATGGATCATCTTTCAAATTGTGAGCAGAACAGTTCTTACAATGGAGTTCTGCCTGACATCATGGCTGTGTGACACGGAGCCCTGCAGCCTCCATCTCTGCTGTGGCCAGTCTGTCTTTGAGTCTGGTTACCTGCCAGGCACCCCAAGCTGAGTTTGCCTTCCTGTGTTAATGGTGACCATGGCTTGCATTACTATGTAGGTAATTCTCTGTCCTTCCAAATGGCTTTTCCTAGAGAGCAACTGGGACCAGTAGTCCCATTCTCCATGGGATATTAGGGTCCCATGGGCACTGAGATGTAGAGCCCAGTGTCTGGTCCCCACCTCTGGGAGAGGGATTGACTCTCTGGGAACACAGCCTGTGCAAAGGAAAGTCTGTAAGTCCCTAGGAGTGTGGATGTGCCTATGAGGGACAGTCATCCCCTACGCCACCAGGGAGACCTGACAGTGAGCTGGGGTGCAGCCATCAAGACTGGTCCCTCTCCTGCTCCTTGGTGACAGGAACTGAGATGCAGTACATACCTGGCCAACCCCTGCCAGGGAAGGCAAGACCACTGCAACTCTCCTGTATCAACCACGCTGGAGATTAAAGGGAGACAACTCAAAGGCAGACAAAAAGTAACATCTGAAAAGCCCCTGTGCTGGCTGCAGAAGCATGTCCAGGACCCAGGACCCAGGCCACATCCCTGGCCTCCAGTGGGCGCTCTGCCCACAGGTCGGCGTTGGAACCCACCTGAAGAGCTCTCGGATCTCCCGCTGGTTGGCCTGGAACGGGATGTTGCGTACTAGGATTTTGGAGGTCGTCTGCTTCCTGAGGACTTGTTTCTTCCGAGAGGGTGTCAGGGCTGGCCTGGGGGTGGGGGAGGGGAACACAACAGGTTATTTGGGGTGTCAACTGCTTGCCTACAAATCCACCCTACAGCCTTCCTACCCAGAAGTGAACTGCAGAAGGGGCCATGATGAAAATGGAAGAACTTAAGTTTGTCTCCAGACTCAGGGTGACGGGGACTATAATTTTCCTCTCTTCAAACAGCTGTGGCTAGCTGATCAATGCAGCCCCAGTGTTGCTGTCCTTTATCTTACAAGGACCATGAGAAAGAACTCCCATGATGGATGAAACGGTTTGCACCAAACCTGGGTCCACTTTTCTCTTCTTGATAAATGATGGACAGTCCTTGCAGGCTTCTAGACCCTTCACTAACCCAAGGGGCACCCATGGGCCTAACCACGGAAGGGCCAGGTGTGGAGAGGGATTCTCTGAGCCAGGTGCAAAGCCACCCTGAATTCAGTCCCACTCTTGCCCCTGCTCATCCAGAGTCCTTGCACTCCTCCGGGGTGGAGGAGGGGCCTGACTCTGAGTTAACAAGCTGCAGACAATGCCAAGTCATCTGCACAGAATCTGGGTGAGGGGCACCTACAGGGCAACTTATGGGCAGCTAGCTATACCACCAAGGAGAAAGTCCCTGCTCTCAGCAAACTTAACAGCTCATATGTCCTTTAAAGGGGTGGAGTCCTGGGGAGGGAAGGGACAATGGGGGAACTCTTGAGCTCCTCCCCTTATGTGACAGAACATCAGTGCCGCATGCTGGTAACCACAGCTGCTGAGAGTACAAAAGCACGACGGCCAAGACCAGAGAACAGTGTATTATACAACACTAGCAAACTCTGTGAGCCTCTCTGCTCACCTCCTCAGTTGTGAAACCAGTGTAGCAATGGTGTCAGTGTCACCACTGTGTGGGGTGTGTGAGGATTTCACATGGAAACACTCAACCAACTGCAGCCCTGTGATAAGCATTGCCCAGTCACTTCACACACCCCCACCTCCTCAGAGGGCTCCCTGTTTCCAGTACAACAGCAGCCCCCTTCCTCAACATGTACCCCAACTCTACTCTCCTAGTGTGCATCCCTACCTTGAGGATTCTATCGTGTTTCCCCATCTGTCTTGCCACTCTGGGGCCGTGTCATCCAAAACAGCAGCTCGTGTTTAGAAACCCTCGGTGGCTGGGCTGGCCCATCTGAGATGGTCTATGGTGAGCCCTGCCTCTTGGTACCCATGCCTATGAAGCCTTCCCGAGACAGCTGAGGTGACTGCCGAACTTCTGAGACCAGGCCATCGCCACCAGAGGCACTGCTGCTTTCTCCTCACCACCTTGGCTTACTCCCCACTGGCCACCATGTCGGAAGGATGCTCAAGCAGCTCCAGAGGGCAGCCCTGAGTGAGGCCTCAGGCCTCCTGCCCAGGGTCACCTCAGAAGCTGACTGTTTGGCCCTGGGTAAGTCCTCAGGTGCAAGAAACCCCAGTTGATATCCCGAATGCACCCTTGGGGAGACTCCATAGACCCCAAGCTGAACCCTGGCTGACCCACTCCTGGACTCCTGACCCACAGAACCTGACACCATCACCGCTATCCTATAAGCTGTGCAGTCTGAGGGGCAGCGTCATGCAAGATCACACAGCGGTGCCTGCCACATAAGTCCTGACAGCCATGTTGCTGAATGGCACCACAGTGGACAGCACAGTGAAATATTTGCATGCTATACAAGGTTCCATGGAGCAGTACTGCCCTACAATGTAACCCACAGGGAAGCTCCACCCCAGAGCCCAGGAAGGTGGGGCACCCTGGCTTTTCATAGTTTTGCTCAAACAATGACTCTACTGGCCAGGAGGCAGGAGCTCAGAGGCTTGAACCCAGGTTGGCCCTGAGGACAGAGCCTAGGAAAGAAAGATGGCTGCCCTGAGTGCCTAGGGGTATGGTGTGTGCCAAGTGCCTTTACATCCTCTCAGGTCCTGTCACCACTAGCCCAAGGCCGCACAGCTGCTGGATCAGACTCTGAAGCTCTGGTTCAAATACGGGATCCTACTTCTAGTTTGGGAAGCCCTTGTACCAAATTTTCTCCTCACTGAGGGTAACAGAGCAGGCAGTTGAAGGGAAATCCCAGAGCTGGCTCCCACCACATTCTCAAGCATCCCACCTGCCTCTGTCGTCCATGTCTGGCCCTTGTGTCCAACCCTTTGGCATTGCAAAATGATGTTGTCATCTACAAAGTTTCCTCAATCAAGTTACAACATCAACAATTCATAATGTTTGAAATTTAGGATTTTGTGCTGGGTCACATTCATGGCTATTCTGCGATACTTGGCTGCATGTGGCTCAGGCTGCAGGCTGCAGACTCCTAGGTGTTGCAGGCAGCTTGTCTGAGCACTAGCAGCTTTTGTGTTATTTACTTCTATCACCAAGGTGAGTGCAAGTACTTATGTTTTCTCTTCCAGGGACTTCTATGTGCTGGGCAAACACACTGAGTTAGACCCTCAGCCCCACCTATCCTTTCATTAGAAAACCACGTAAACTTTCTATCCAGGGGATGGGCACTGGCTGGTGGTGTTTGGCAGAGAAACAGATGTTGAGGTTGGCAAGTGAAACCTTAACGGGAAGAATCCTAAAGCGGTGAGGAATCGGGTGGGAGAAGGGCACTTAAGGGCTACAAGACACTCGAGCAGCCAGCACCAAGGTCAGAGAGCATTGCCATTCATTCAAGACTCACTTAGTGGCCCGTTCCGAGATCCGCACTTCCAGCTTGTGACCGTCCACAACGTGACCCTACGAGACAAGATGACCCAGCTTGTCACTTCTTCACACTTGCCCTTCCCCAGCACCCAGCTATGGCCTGAAGGTGAGTCAGCCTGTCCCAGGCAGAGGGGGCTGGTGGGAACTGAGGACAGAGATGGCTTTTATAGAAGGGGCCCCTCAAGCCAGGCAGCAGCCACTGGCCACAGAGACTGAGCCTCCCAGTGTTCTCCTGACCTCCCGACCAATTAAGGAACAGTTTCCACCGTTAGAGGTGGTTTCAGGGAGACAAATATGAAAGCCTAGCTTGCAGACAGTTCACTATAGTTCAGAGGCTCTTTGTGTGAAGTTCTAAACTATTTGGAGCTGCACATAAGCTGGGTTCTAATTGGAGTCCCTGGACGCTGGTGTATTAGCAAAATGATCCCTGGAAATCCCTTAGTTCTCCAGAAAATACAGTATGTGGGGCTCTGGATATAAGATTCTTGGCAACAATGTGCACACATGTGCATCACAGCACATGGTACAAAGTATACCACATGTAAATGCCAGTCTACTGACTCTTGAAAAACAAAAGTGAAAACATGGGTCACTATTTGCAGAGCTGAACTTTGAATATCTGGGGTCCAGGAACAAAGTGGGGTTTCTACTGAAAAGGCAAAACAAAAAACCCCCTATCTCTGCCTTGCATGGCCAAGGATGTAGCTGTCTTCCTGAGTGAAAGTCCAGCTCTCTCTGGGACTGCTACAAGCCCCAGGCTGCCTGGCTCTCTGCAACCCTCTCACTGGTGAGGGTCCCAATCTGCTTCTGGAATGTAGAGCCTGTGGAAGGACATCTCTCTCGTCTCTGACTCAGTAGGATGCTGTGTCTGTCTAAATACTTCTCAGCCCCTCCACATACCTTCACTGCTCATGCCCTGGCCCAAGTCACAGAGCTGTCTAGTCTGGGTGGCTCAAGGGTTTTTCCCAGTCACCTGTGGACTACCCACTCTTGGTAAGGCAGCTCAGGAAACTGTCCTAGGACTCCCATCAGAGCCTCAAGCCTCCCACTGCCTTCCTGTCCAATGCTAGTCCTTTATCACCTCTAAGATCTGGCCCCCGACCCCTATACCTTGTATCCAGATGCCCACTCTATACCCCACCCCCGCCATACTGACCTTGTTTTGCTGCTCAAACACAAAGTTCATTCCCACCTCAAAGTTACTACCAAAGGCCCTTTTGCACAGGTGTTCCCTCCTAGCCTGCCCTCCTCCAGATCTCTGGGCAAAAGACTTCTTTGCATCTATAGGTATCAGCTCAACTATCACTTCCTTAAGGAGTCTTCTGATCCTGTATTCTGAAGTACCCCCTTGGGCACTATTTTTACTTGAGCCCTTACCCTGATCTGTTCTCTCGTATTTTTTCAGGGGTGCACTGCCTGTCTTTCCCACCTAAAATAAAGAGCGTGTCTACCCCAGGCCTAGCACAATGCCTAGCACAGACTAGTCCCCACAATCAAAGTATGTGTAGAGTGAATCAGAGTAACCACAGAGGGGTGAAAAAGGCTCTGTTTACCCTGAGCAGTGGCCTCAGTGATGGCCTAGGACCCCAGCTTACCTGGAGCTGCTTGAGGGCTTTCTGGGCCTGCTCGGGCTTCTTGTATTCCACAAACCCAAACCCCATGGAGAGCAGCGTGCCTGACAAAGAGAAGGGGCAGGTGGGTGGGTGGGTACGGAATTAACACCCCAGGAGCACTTGTGAGGGTTCCATGGCTGGAACCCCACTTTTCTTTCTCTTCCCTTTCACACCCCTCTAAAGAGACCTCTGCTCCTGGTACCAGGCATTTATGATGGGGTATCCTGACCACTCTGCCAATGGGGTCACAGGGCTGCCACTGGAGGCCTGGTTAGCTATTAATTAGCAGATGACTGGCATGATAATTAACTTCATAACAGAATTCTGCCTTTGGGAAAGAGCCTGTACTAACAGATGACTACGGCTGTGATGTGGAGAAGATGCTGCTATGCCTAAGGCAGAAGGCGGATAGTGAGCACACGAAGACTTCTCTATGTGATCTGACCATCGACCACACCGCTTCCTGGATCTCAGAAACAAAGTCCAGACAGGAAGGGAGACCAGGTTAGTGGGTCTTTTTTGTCCTTACATAATTCTAGGCAGCGAACAGTTTAGACAGCAAGAGTTCTCATGAATATTCTATCAATTTGTGCTTCCTGACCCACCATGTCTGGGTTACAGCCATAGGTGTGAGTCCTGGTATCCCAACCTGGTTTGACATTCCTGAAGAACAGGGGTGTCAGGACAACATAGGGTTCCCTACACACTCAGGGAGAAACACACATCTCTCAGAACGGGAGTTTACTGGAGATATACCCTTGACTGTGGTAATCAAGTCAAAATGAAGTCATCAGCTCACCCCACTCCAGTCCAGCTGGGGTCCTTTACAATCTAGGGGGCAGGCTAGGTATCATGGCTGTATTTCCCAGCACTGGGAGGCTGAAGACAGGGACCTGCCTGAGGGACACTGAGCAGCAGACATTGTGACTCATCCAGCACACTATACACAGTATGGCATCCCCACCAATCCTATCTAACCAAAGGGTTGGGGACCACATGATATGAGAGGGCAGAGGCTTGGTCCTGTCCATCCCTGCAGGAGGTCAGGGTGACCTCAGCCAGGGGGGCCAGGAGACTCAGGATAAGACCTGGGGCAAATGGAGAGGGGAGGGTAATTTCCACAGGGCCTATGTACCCATTGGCAAGGGCAGTACAGGGTTAATGGCTCAGTGAAATGTTCTAGAACTTCTACATCTGAGTTACAACCCTAGGAAAAGGGGAGGGAAAGCCCAAAGCCAGTCATTCCTTGGTATGCCAGGCAAAGTTCCAGAACACAGATGTGAAGGTAAGTGGAGGTTTCTGCTCCTGAGGGTTGTCCCCATGGAGCTGCTCCAAAGCTACCTTCCTCTCTGAGAAGGTTCTGGAATGAGATAACCCCATGTGCATGGCTGGATCTGCTGAAGCAGGAGGCCTAAAGCAGCCCAGAGACTAGACCGGAAGTAGATAGCTCTTGGAAACCAAAGGGACTTCAAGATGCATTGTGGAGGATGGTCTTCTATCTCCCACCCTCACACAGCAACTTCTGAAAGCATTCTGTGCTGAGATTCACAAGGGCTAAATACCTGCTTTGTTCTTCTTCTTGGAGATGGAGCAGCTCCTCACTGCTCCCACTCTGGAAAACACCTGAAAAAGAGCATCACCGTGCCTGTCAGTAGCGGCCTCTACAGACCATCCACACACATCACTTCCTTAGGACATGGACTTGCCCCTGAGGTGGGCAAGGGGTCCCTCCTCCATCAGCACCTCTCCTCCACTCCACATCCCTCCTCCATCAGCACCTCTCCTCCACTCCACATCCCTCCTCTGTCAGCACCTCTCCTCCACTCCACATCCCTCCTCCGTCAGCACCTCTCCTCCACTCCACATCCCCCCTCCATCAGCACCTCTCCTCCACTCCACATCCCCCCTCCATCAGCAACCCTCCTTCCATTTCCAAATCCCACTCACTTCTTTCAGCGTCTCCTCTGAGGTGCTGAAGTTGAGGTTCTTAATAAAGAGAGTGCTTCCTGGGAGGCTCTCCTCTTCCTCCTCCTCTTCCTCCTCCATCTTGGCCGAGGAATCCTCTGCTTTTTCCATCACAGCCTTTTTATTTTCTGGAGTCTCACCGTCTAGTACTGGTTCCAACAACAAACAAGCCCATTACATGTCAATGCTCAGCAGTCTCTCAGGGCCTAAAGCACAGAACCTGCTAGACTAAAGGCTCCTGCTTCTGGAGGAACTGTCGGGAAGAACTGTGCTAGGTTGAGAGAGAGAAGGAGAGAGAGGGGGAGGGAGAGGGGGAGAGAGGGGAGTGAGAACAAGAACAAGAACTTGAGACAGGCAGAAAGACAGGAACTGCCATTGGCCCAGTTTGAAAGGGAGTGACTATGAAGCACAGACCAAAACTATGAGTGCCGAACAGGACCAGGCCTTGAACCTGAACCTTGGACCTGAAGGATTCAACCCAAATCCCCTAGATATGCGGAACAGCGAGATTCACCTGGACAGGATGCATTAAATCTAGTCATATCATGGCATAACAAAGAACTGGAGAAAGCACTAGACACAAGCTGGACATCAGGAAAGTTATAGGACTAAAGGGACTGGAATAATATAGTCACTAAAAATGATATATGCAAATTACATATATACAACTGTGCCACGAAACAAACCTAATGAAAACAAATTACATGTACAGCGTAGTTCTATCCTGCTGAGCAAACACGTCAGATACAGACACACAGGAAGAGGCGATGGCAAAGAAAAGCAGAGAGGGGTCCTCCTAAGTGCCTGTGGCCATTCCGCACTGAAGCAGCACTTCCAAGAAGGGCAGCTGTAGGCCAGGAGGGGACAGACTGGGCAGGGCCTGTCAGGGCCAGTAGCACAGCCATGTGAAGTGCTTCCCAAGGGACAGTGACACCCTTCAGGTGACTGAGAAGAGATAACTGCCCCATCTTCACTCTCCTGCCTCTGAAGGGACTTCCCAGTGTTCAGGCCTGTCCACTTTCACACAGGATCCCCAAGGACAGCTCTCTCTCAGGTCCTTCCCAAAGCCAAAGGCTAAATTCTGACTCAGTGTCAACTGCTATGGCACAAAGCCACCCTTTTATGCCTTCTGAAAATAATGCAGATTCTGACACCGGTGAGCCACACAGCTTGTTTCTCAGTCCCTCTGAGCCCAGTACCCAGCTGGGAGCCCTAGGAGAAAACAAATACTACAGAGGCTCCTCACCAGCCTAGAAACAGACACGTGTCCTTCAGTGAGGCAATGGGTACCTAAAGAATATTCTGGAAGCTTGTGCAACTGAACCCTAAATCTCGGGCATCCCTAGGTTGGTGTGAGGGGTTCATGAGAGACTAAAAGACATTTTTACAGAAAAGAGAACTGTAGGGAAGACAGTGACAGAGATGGTACATGGCCTGGTGAGTGGTCCCTTCTTGGCACTGGCCAATGGCTGTCACTTGGGGAGGTCGCCTCAGGGTAGCTGGAGGTTCAAAATTTTCAAGAGAAGTGCAAAGTCCAGATCATTTTTGAAAAACCAGTTTATCAGCTTGACACCTGAAGTCCATAGCATTTGACTTTCATCCTAGGCTGGGGTTAGCAAAGGGAGCAGCTCCCTGGGCCTCCTGCTCACACCCTGGGCCTCTTGTTCTGCACCCTAGCCTGTGAAAACTTCTGGAAGACTGCTCACCCTACCTCCTCCTCCTGTCCCTGGTCTGAAATTCAGCCAGCTCTCAGCAACATCCGGGGCACTGCCAGCCTTTGGCACGACCACAGGGAGGTGACTTGCAACTTTAGAAGCAAAGCTGGGCTGAGCAGAGGTTGTATTCAGTACTCTGGAATGGGCAGGTTCCTCTCTAGAAGGTCAACTGCTCCCAGGTCCAGCCTCAGAAGGTGTGGACCTAGAGAATGACTGGCACCTATTTCTGGGGTATCAGCTAGCCTGGCCAGTACTTGCCTCCAACTTCTACTGAGTCAACCAACACTCTTCCACCACATCAGAAACAATACCCAGCTGGAAATGAAGGCTGCGTTTCAGTCACAGCCTGGGCATGGGCTGCCAGCCTCCCTACACTCATCCCAGGCCCCTGGGTCCTGGGAGAGCCAGCCAGCCACACATCAATCTTCAGAGATCTGGGAAAGGGGGCCTGGAAGTGGGTGGGGGAGACTTCAGGTGAACCATGATACATGTGACGGCTGCCCTGGCTCTGCCACACACTAGTTGTGGCCAGCGACTCCAGGCCTTTTCTCAGTAGCCTCACCTGCACTAAGGTATTTAACAGAACCATATGGTACACAGGTGCGTGTGTACACTTCTATACCCAGCACCAGGCTGTTCTATAGCACAGGTGGCCATGGCTTCATCTGTATGCCTGGATATCATCACTGGTCATTTGGACAGCTGACCAAGTGGCTGCACTGCTGGTCCTGCCTTGGGACTGGCCCCTCCCTAGCTAGCCAGCTTCTCCCAACCTCATCCCTGGCCTTGCCCTCTGGCCTGCTCTACACCAACTATACTGGCCTCTTTGTTGATTGCCAGGCCTGCCAAACCCATGCCATCAGGTCCCAGGACACACATGCTCCCTGTGAGGGCAATTCTTGCCCCACTGTACTTCCAGTGGGCTCCACCCTGGGCTCAGCTATTCTCCATCTCCCTCCCAACGTCAAATCACCTTCCGGACTGGTTTGTATCTGTGTGTTCCCCAATACAAGGGGTACTCATGAAGAAAACGCTGGCCCGGACTGGGTGATCCCTACACTCCCAGCCCCAGGCTTGGAGAAGACATACCAAAAACACTTGTGGAAATGAGTCTGTCATACTCGGCCTATGCCTGGAATACAGAGGCCCAGCGACCATGCTGTGTTCTGGAGTTGTGAGGTCACGGGCTGAGACCCAGAGGCTGATGGCTCTGAGTCACTTCTGAACCTCTCCACAGGTTGACATTTCACAAGCCTCTTTGTACTTCCCTCCCCAGCTACAATCGGGAACAATAAAGATGCTACCTCAGACGCCTTGAGAACGGCCCCTGGGCCTGCCTGAAGCACCCAACCATGGCAGCTTCCTCATCGTCACCCTCACCCTTCTTGTACACTGTACAGAGGCTGGCAAGCCTGCTGGGACCGTGGAGGAAAAACCTGGGGGTCCCGACTCTGTGTGAAAAGACAGCATAAAGACAGAGGTGCTGAATCTGCTCTGACCCAGGTGCTGAGAAGGTCACACACCTCCAGGGGACCACATCCCTGACAGCCATCTTATACCCTCCCTGGCCACCAGGCCAGGCCAGGCCCTGCTGTGGCTTGCACCCACAGGGAGGGCTGGAGGTGGCCAAGCATCAGGTGATGCGGCCAGAGGTCTGTTTTAAAAAGCAATTCTGGGGCTTGAGAGAGAACTCAGTGGTTAAGAACACTTGCTGTTCTTCCAGGGGTTGGGTTTGATTCCCCGCACCCATAAGGGAGCTGTCTATAATTCCAGTTCCAGGGGAACCAATGCCCTCTTCTGGCATCTGCGTGGGCACTGCATGCACGTGGTATACTTATATACATGCAGTCAAAACACTCGTACACATAAAAATAATAAAATATTTTTAAAAAGCACTTCTACCCCAGCCCCAAGTGGAAAGTTGGGAAAGAAAAACTAGGTGCTGTGAAACCCAAATGGATGCCAGCCAAACCCCCAGGAAGCAGATGGGGGAGGAACAGAACAGCAGCCAGGCTGGTCAAGGCTGCAGCCAGGCTGGGCCAAGGATCCAGAAACAAGGTGGGCTGCGGGGGCTAGAAGAAGTGTCTTGGTTGGTACAGGGACAGGCAGTCTCACGTGCCACAGGGGCATTATCATCATCAGGCTGCAGAATTCCCCCGCCCCATCCCACTACAGGCCCACAGCAGAGCCTGTTAGCAGCAGCATGCAGCTTTGTGGGACCTCCCCCTAGCTCAGAGCCCTTTATCTGGAGATGAGGGTCTTGGTTGTGGAGGAGATAAAACATGCTGCCCCCTCTCCCCCAGGATCCATGCAGGGACCAGAAGAGCCTTGCAGAGAAGCAGGGGCTGCCACCCTCTGCTCTCCTTCTATCCTTCCTGGCCTGGGAAAATCCCAGTCTGGGTCCCTAGTCTCATCCTACAGGGACTGGGAGAGTTGGGAGTTCCTGAGAGCAAGGTGAGGAGGGCTGGTGGGGAGGACTGAAGAACAGGGACAGAGGGGACTATGTAGTAAAAAGGAATAAAAGAGCCACAGGAGGCCAGAACAGGTTTGACAAGTGGCAGTGAGGGTGATGTAGACACTGTGGACACAGCTGGGCTGGGCAGGGGTGCAGACAAGGACCACTTCCTAGCCCAAACTTGGGAAGTTTGTGTGTGGGGAGGGAAGCTGGGCCCTCCTCCCAGCTCTTAAGGCTTCCCTGGTGCAGGTCACAGGCAGTGGGCCTGGTAACCAGCCCTTCCCAGGTCAGGGCCTGGTGAGGACAGGATGACAGGGAGGACCGACTCCAGCCTCTAGACTCTGGATGCCGGTACTGGGACATCTCCCTGAGTACCAGAGCACACCTATCCCAGGACCACCACTGACACTACTTGGTCCATTTCAGCTGCCCCCCTCCCCCCCCACAGCCAGGAACTCTGGAATCAGGCTCCATGTTGGATGTGGCCTGGTCAGCTTGTACAGTGGCAGGCACACAGCTCTGGACAGCTACAAGAGAACTCAAGGTGATGCCATCTGACTCCAAGTTCTGGCAAAGGCTTTGGGGGCTCCTGCAGTCATTTTATAGATGCAGAGCAGAAGGCTGCCCATGCACTGGGAAACACTCACATGCCCCCGGAGTACAGAGCCTTGTGGTTGAGGATACAAAGGCTTTGGGCACCTGTAGGCAGAAAGCAAGGCAACCCTGAAACCACCTTTAAACTTCATGCTTGAAGGGTTAGGACAGAGAGCAGCATTACCCAGCCCTCCTGTACAGAGGGATGGAGCTTCAGTCTTCCCAGTCCCTCACTTCACTGGACTCCTCTAGTCTATGGAGCTGCCTTGCCCCATACCTAGAGATGCGTGGGGTACAGACAGCCTGGCCCCTGCCTCACAGGGCTCACAGTCTTGCCAAGATAGAAAGGAAAAAGGTGAAACAAAGAATAAATACAAATGGTGAAAGTGTCAGGGGATAACAGATGATTCTAAAGGGAGAAACACGAGGATATGGTGAACACACCACACAGGGGTCACCTTGGAAGGCCCAGTGCCTCACAGCTCCCTGCTGCTGCCCATAGTAGAAGAGGCCTCCTGGTGCTGTCAGGGACCCCAACCCCAGCCAGTCTTCATGTTTGAAAGGAGCACTTGCTTTGGGTCAAAAAGTATTAGCAAAGTTAAAGGCAGCAATGAACTGAGAGGAAAGGCAGCTGGGGGCTGAGGTGAGAACAAATTCGAGGAGAATGCGGGAGGCTCAGTGGTTTAACACCTGTAACACATCTACAATGCTCTAGGTTCCACCCCAGCACCCTAATAAAGCAAACAAACCCAGGACCACACAAAGAGAATTATTTCAATGGGATGCTAAGCAGGTTTGAGAGTACCCTAGTCTACCAGACAGCAACACTGACAGACAGGTGTTAATGAGGGGTCTGGAGGGTCTGCCCAGCAACCACAAACACTTCAGGAGTCTCAAAGATCAGAGACTTTCTGCTGGAACAAGGGTTCTGGACTAGCAGGTTCACCATGCCCACTATCAACTGAGCTGGTCCTCAAGAGCCACACAGACACAGCTGACACAGCTGGCAACTGTTTGGTGACACCCATTCAATTTAACTGAGAAGGGGATCTGGATCTAATCCTTACACTGGCAATCTTGCTCTTCTACCTTGACTTTTCTTGGTGCAATATTTTTTAAGTAATATATATGTATATGTAAATATGCATATTTTAATATACAATAGTTTAACATACAATAGAAGGGCCAATGAGATGGCTCAGTGGGTAAATGCACTCGCTGCCAAGCCTGATCTGAGTTCAGTCCCTGGACTCCACATGGTGGAAGGTGAGAACCAACTACTGCAAGTTGTCAGTTGACTTCCACAGGCAGGCATGTGCACTCAGGAGGCAGAGGGTCAGAAGCTCAAGGTCATCTTCAGCTACACAGAAAGTTCAAGACTATCCTGAGCTACATGAGACCCGGACTCAAAAAGCAAACAAAAAACCCTCCCGCACAAAACAGCAACCCACAACATGAAAGAACAGGGATGGAATGAAGGACTAATTATCTCTTTTTACAAAATCCTTATTTTCATCAATGGAATATTCATGTCTATTGTGGAAGGAACGGTTACTATTGTACTGACAGGGAAATCCCGACCTCCACAGTTCTCAAAGCCTCACTAGTGGTCTGCAGGATGAACAAAGCATGTTAGGTCAGTGGCCTGATGAGGTCCAGACACCCAACCCCTCCCCTCACTGCTGCTGGCTGCCCAGGCCTGGTGGTCCCAGACTCTGCTCTTACCGGTCTCTGGCTCCACCTCCTCCTTTTCAGCAGGTTCTGCAGGCTCCTTCTTCTTCGGGGCTGTGCTGAAAACACCAATAGGAGCCCACTCCAGGTACAGGGGGACATGGTGGAACTGCAGAGACAGAGGCGCCAACACTCTGGGTCCCCATCAAGGACTGGGCTGGAGAGAGGCTCAATGCCACTGGCAGAAGAGCCTGGAGGTCAGGGGAGATGGAGCCAAGACGAAGAGCCAGGCTCAACGTCCCTCATGCAGCTGGACATCTGGAATAACCCACAGGCCCTGGTGCAGCCATTCAGACTGTGAGGAACAGAGGCCTGTCGCCATAGGACAGGAAGTGGATCCCCTGTGTTTTCATCAGAGTGTGACAGGGACAGTGGAATGGGGTGGCAGAATCATTGGTGAAGTGTACTCCTGTCTGGAGGGGCAGCGTGGCCATCGGGATGACCAGTGCATACTCTTATCACATACGAACACTGAGGCAACACACATGCACATGTGTATAGTCTTTCACAAAAGGCTAAATGAGGCATGGATGTGGTTAGGAACAACTAGTGGAAACTACCCTGCGGACTCCTCAGAAGGCGACTACGGCCAGGGAACAGGCGGGAGATCTGTCCGTGGGCTCTTTCTGAATCTTAAAATGTCACATGATATGAAAGCCTGGCAAGGGAATTATGTTTATGAAAAATGCTTGAGGGCATGGCAGGTAGAGTCACTGGAGATACTGCCTCTTCTCTGTGCAACTCTGGGCCACCTGGCGACCACATGTGAAACAAGGATGCAGTATGCCCTATGAAGAGGCCTTGCTTCATCAAGGCCTTTGACCTCATGCTGTGAGAAGTTTTGGATAACAAGCGTATCTTCTAGAAGTGGTGGAAGAAAGGAAGGAGTGCTTGCTTTTTAGGGGTGCTACTTCTCAGTCCTGAGGCATTCTAGACGCACATGCTTTCAGGTCAGGCAGACTGATTTCTGAGGGCACAAAGGGCACAGAGTACTGGGCTTGGGGCAGTCATGGGTCAGAGCAGCCAAGGATGGGCAGCCTGCACCATGGGGATGTGAACACCTGCTCCTAAGCACCACGGGGATACTGAGGTCTGTGTGTCATAAAAGCACCAAAAAGAGAACTTCCTTGGACTTGGCTGAATAGTGGCTCCCAGTCATGATCTTGAACCCCAGAACCAGTGATTGTGACCTTATTGATAAAAACCACTAAGCTGCAGATCATGAGATTAGACTGCTAGGTTTTATCTGGGTGGCCATAAGTCCAATAAGTGTCCTTGGAACAGAAGTACAGAGGGAGGCTTGACCCAAGAAGAGGCAGCCAGATGAAGACAGGCAGACTGAAGGGACACCAAGCCAAGGGACACAGGACTACCAGAAGAAAGAGTAGGGGACAGACTGCCCCACGGCCTGCAGAGGGAGCAAGCCCACCGCTCGGTGGGATTCTGGCTAAGTGTGGAGAATGGACTCTACTGCTTCACGCCATCCAGCTGACGGTCATTCATCACAGCACCCCAGGAAGCTTGCACCTGCTATTTTCTTTAACCAAGAATCAGAAGGCCACCCCAAGTAGAGAACTGACATCCAGCTCATGGTGGCACAGGACAGCAAGGGTGACAGGATGATTCTAGTCGGGGGTGGGGGGAGGAGAGCCAGAGCGAGGGAGAGGTGCAGGTGTGTTGGAGAATTCTCAGAGGAGCTGGCAGTCAGGGTGGCACTGGCAATCTGATGGAGGAAGGTGGGTTTGGGGCCCTCCCCAGATTCTGGGCACTCCAGCTCACCGCCCTCTCCCCTAAGCAGTCCTTGAGGCTTCTCTACATCCCACCTGAGGTCAGCAGATGTACCTTGGAATAGGCCAGGTGCCTGAAGGCCTTTCGGGCCTCCAGGGGCTCCAGGAACTCTACTATGGCTGTGATGCCACCTTCAGGCAGCAGCACACGGCCCAGGCTGCCGAAGCGGCCAAAGATCTCCTGCAGCTCTGTGGCCAGGGTGCCTGCTGGGAGGTTCTTGGCCAGGATCACAGTCTTGCTTCGCTCTGCTGCAGCCTTTAGGGAGGAGATGAATGTGTAAGCCAACAGGAGCGGGAACTCAGCCTGGCCACAGCACTGACCTGTTGGTTGTGGCCTCAGGGAGAGATGCCTGCAGGGACCTTGGTGGGGGGGATGCTTCCTGGGAACATGCCTGCTCCTTCCATGTCCCAGAAATAGCTCTTCAGAGGGACTGGGGCCTGGAGCTCCAGAGCCACAACTCTGTGAAATCCTAGCCACACATACCCCTCCCCGCCCCCACTGAAACACCCTAAGCTACAGAGTCTAATGGGATAGGGGAGCAATTCTGGGGAGCCAGTCCTGGAAGTTTACCCCTAGATGAGGTTCTCACTACCCAGAACAGTCATTCCCATCTCTGCAGTGGCCACCAGCTTGAGCAACCAGAGGCTCACTGAGTTGGTGAGGACTCACCTGGCTGAAAGAGTCCAGGCTGACGCCGTTGTCGATGAGGAAGCTCCTGACCTCCTGGACCAGCTGGGTCTCCCCCAGAGCCACACGCACAGCCACGCTGCCCCTGGTTTCCTGTGGGAGAAGGAAGGGAAGAGGCCAGGGTGGCCTGTCAGGATGCTGTTCAGAGGGAAATGTGGTCCACTCTCATCACTCGCCATGGATTTAAGTCTCCCGTGGCTCAGACTCTGTGAGTCACACAGAGTAAATGGGGAACTCCATGGTCTCATTCCATCCTTGCCCTTCCCTCATTGTTCTCAGGCAGGAGGCCCTGCTGCTTTTCCTATAGGAGGTACTCCTGCCTGCACTGGCTTCAACACCTGCCCTCTCAGCCTCAGTCAGCTCCTACCCCAGCCTCACTCTGGTCACGTCCCTTGCTGAGCAGCCCAGTTGGACTGTGATGCCCGATCTCCAGGCTGCACCCTGTGTCCTCTACTGGAGGGCACTGCAAGAGCAGGGCCCCTTTTGTGCCAGGTCTGGCCATGCTCCAGGGGCCCAGAGAAGCCTCCTGGCACCCAAGTCACAACAGTCATCCCCCTTACAACAGGTTGTTCCTGCCAAACATGGTGGCCACATCAGTAGAATGTGGCCTATTCAAATCAATACCACACCAGTGTAGTGTTAAATACCCACTGGACTTAAAGACACAGAATGAAAAAGAGTTTGGAATGTTTTCATATTGGGCAAGTGTTCAAATGATAATATTTTAGACATGTCAAACTTCAAAATATGAAAATTAATCCTATGTCCTCTTGTTTTTCTAACATGTGATCACTATTACATGTGATGATATGCATTCTGGCTGTTTTTTTTTGTAATTTTAAAAAATATTTTATTTGACTTCCCTTTGCATCCCTGGGTAGCACAGCCACCAGCTCCCTGGGGTCAGCATCTTTCCTGGGTAAGTTCGGTGGCGCCCACCAAGCCTTGACTCCCCCAGACTTATTCACCCTTCCAGCTCCCCCACCCTATCTCTCCTCCTAGCCTGGGTACTGGTCCATTTCTTGTCTTGGCACCCCAGACACCTGGAATGACCTCTTGGCTCAGAATCCCCACTGCTTCCTGATCCTTTGCATCCAGACCAACCCAATTCCTTCTTGTAGTCCCCAGGAACCCTCTGGGCCTGTTCCCTTCCCCACCTCCCTTTGCATCGCTGGGTGGCACAGCCACCAGCTGCCTGGGGCCAGCATCTTTCCTGGGGGGATCTAGACCTTAGGAGAAAGCCTGAGAGCATCTGATCCTCATCCGACTTGGGCCTTTGTGGGAACTCCTGAGCAGCAAGAGGAAAGCAATTTGGCCACACCAGTATAAAATCAAAAGAGAGAACCTAAAGCCTCAACCAACCAGCTTTTCATGCCCAACAAGTAAACCATAAATGCAGATAAAGTTTACAAAAAGCAGCAGACCTAAACTCAACAAAGGCTTGAGTTTCACACAAGAATCAGAAACTGCAAAAAAAGTATAAATGAAAAACCAAAATAATATATCCCCACCAAGTACCAATAGTCCTCTAGAGGAGTACAACAAGAACCCCCCAGGAATACCAGAGGACATGGACCTCAAAAGAACAATATAAACATGATAAAAGAAGTCAGTGATTTTTAAAGAACACACAAAGAAATCAAAGAACTGAAAGAATATAGGGATAAACTTCTGAATGAATTCAGAAAAGAGCTAAAATATTGAAGAAAACTCAGGCTGAAATGAAGAAAGAAGTGAAACACTCAGTAAGACAATTAGAAACGACAGGAGAAAGCCTCACCAATAGGATGAATGAAATGGAAAACAGAGTATCAAGATTGGAAGATAAAGTGGACGAACTGGACCACTCAAGCAAAGACTATGAAAAATTTAAGAAAGCACAAGAATGGAATATGCAAGAATCGTGTGATACCATAAAAAGACCAAACTTAGGAATCATAGGCATACAGGAAAGAGAAGAATCTCAGGATAGTGGTATGGACCAGATCTTCAACAGGACTGTAGGAGAAAATTTCCCAAAATTAAAGAAAGAGGTACCCATACAAATACAAGAAGCATCTAGAACACCAAATAGAAAGGACCAGAAAAGAAACTCTCCACGGCACAACATAGTAAAAACACTAGATGTACAGAACAAAGAGACAATACTGAAAGCTGCAAAAGAAAAACAACAAGTCACATATAAAGGAAAACCCGTTAGGATCACAGCTGACTTTTCAGTGCAAACTATGAAAGCCAGAAGAGCCTGGACCAAAGTATTCCCAGTTCTAAATGACCACAGATGCCAACTCAGATTACTATACCCAGCCAAAATGTCTATTAGAGTCGAAGGGGAAAGAAAAATCTTCCATGACATAAATAGGCTGAAAGAATTCATGTCCACAAAACCAGCCCTTCAGAGAGTTCTTGAAGCACTATAAAGAGCTGAAGAAAGGAAGGAGTATACCCAAGGGGTTAGAGAAAGAAACTTAATGCAGGTATAACTGTGGAAATGCACAGCTACAATAAGAATGTGAATGGAAATAAAAATGACAGGAATCAATACACATCTTTCATTAATAACTTTAAGTATCAATTGACTAAACTCCCAGTCAAAAGACACAGACTAGTTGAATGGATTAAGAAACAAAACCCATCTTTTGGTTGTCTGTAAGACACTCATCTCACTTTCAAGGACAGGTACTACCTTAAGGTGAAAGGATAGAAAAAAATATACCAAGCAAATGGTACTAAGAAAAAAGCAGGCATTACAATTCTAACATCTGACAAAATAGACTTTAAACTGAAACTACTCAGAAGAGATAAAGAGGGCCACTTCATTCTGATCAAAGGAAAAACTGACCAAGAAGATATTACAATTATGAACATATGTTCACCAAGTTCTGGTGTACCCAACTTCATAAGAATAGTACTACAGGACTTTAAGACCCAGATTAATCCCAACTCATTAATAGGAGGGGACTTAAATACCCCACTGTCTCCATTAGAAGGTGAACAGGACAGAGAATTAACAGAGAGCTATCTGAATTACACAATACCAGACATCAAATGGGCCTAACAGATATCTACTGAATATTCTACCTAAGCACCAAAGAATATACTTTCTATTCTGCACCCGATGGAACTTTTTCCAAAACTGACCAAGTACTGGGGCACAAAACAAACCTCAACAAATACAAAAAGATTGAAATAATTCCATGCATTCTATCAGATCACAATGCAATAAAGCTTAAAATCAACACTGGAAGAAACGCTAGTAACCACATGAACACAGAGAGAGTAAACAACACACTCCTGAATGATGAAGGGGTCAAAGGAGAAATTAAGAAAGAAATAAAAGTATTCCTGGAACTAAATGAAAAGGACAATACCACACAACAAAACCTCTGGAACACGTTGAAAGCAGTCCTTAGAGGGAAGTTTATAGCTCTAAGCACCTATATAAAAAAATTAGAAAGAATGCAAATAAATGACTTAACATTGCAACTTAAGACACTTGAAAAGCAACAACAAATGAAGCCCAAACCCAGCAGAAAGAAGAAGTAACAAAAATCAGAGCAGAAATTAATGAAATAGAAACAAAGAAAACAATACAAAGAATCAACAAATCCAACAGCTGGTTCTTTGAAAAGATAAACAAGATTGACAGACCACTAGCCCAGTGAACCAAAAGAAAGAAAGAGCCCCTCCAAATCAACAAAACCAGAGATGAAAGGGGAAACATCACAACAGACAACAAAAAAGATTCAGAACATTATAAGGGAATACTTTAAAAACTATTATACTACTAAATTTAAAAACCTAAAAGAAATGGACAGATATCTAAAGGCATGGGAACCACCAAAACTAAACCAAGAAGAGATTAACATCTTAAACAGACCCATAA